ATTTGGTGTTTTCATTTGGGACTCATAGCGTTCGCTCAGGTACATTATCGTTAATTGAGAACCTGTAACAATAATAATAATGAGGAATTTCTTGGTTATCTTCATTGTTTTGGCCAACAACAATAAGTTGAAATAGCCTGTCAACAAAAATTTCTAAAATCATCAAACATCACACAATGAAAAAGTCAAAAGAATTAAAGAAAATTTCCAGGAATTCTTTTGGAAAAGATTCTTGTATCAAAATAGCAATAATAACAAAGACATCATCAAGATTCAAAAGAAAAATTTTGTGGTTATCTTTCATCATTGAAAATGGTGAATAAAAATGCAATTGATAATAGACAATTGTCATCATAAAAATGATAACTTCTTTTCATTTTTTTGTTGTTGAAACTTTCAATGTTTAAACTTGGTGAATAATGATGATGATTATGATTAACATTCGGCTCACACACACACACATAGGGGAAGTCAGGAAGATAAAAAAAACTGGACAAAATTCTTTTCCGGAAAAATTTCCTCATTTGTAGTGTGTGTGTGTAAGAGTGACATTTATCATTTTTGAAATAAAAAAAAAAGTTTCAGGTTTCAGAAACCAGAATATTATTCTGGAATTTTTTTTTATTAACCCCTCATTCATATAGCCAGCAAAAAAAAAAATAATCATAATCATGGACACGACACTTATATTTTTTCTCCCCCCATAATAATAATCTATTATTTCATTTTTCCCTATGAGTTTTTCCAAAGACCAGCATATATCACACAAGATTTTTGCATATTTTATCCATTTACTACAATCAAATGGTGAGATTTTTCTTTTCTAGACTTTTTATTTTCCAAATGATGATTGCTATTTTATCTGTTATTATTCCTAGTTTGGTGTTGGTGAAATTGAACCAGAAATTGAACCAAGAATCAGATTAAACCCCCTGTAAATAAATTTGTTAAATTGTAAATGATGGTGGTGGTGGTGGTGGTTATTATTTTTTTGGCTCATTTCAATGTGATATTGGCGATTTATCATCGTAAATCGTTATTTCCAAATGTTTGTTTGAAATTACAAACTTTAAATATGAATTTTCAGTTTTTTTTTCATTTCAATTTTGAAAAATGAATGTGTATGTGTTAACTGAAACTGGAACAGGAAAAAGAGAAAGAAAAATAACCAATACCTGGCCTTTATGGCGATTTTTTGGTTCCTTTTTGGCTGTTGTTGTTTTTTCGCCTGTGATGTTGATTAATTAACAAATAATGTCATTAATTTGGATGGATCCAGAAATATAAAAACAAAACAAAAATTCAATCCGAAAATAAACTAATGATTTACTGCTGGGTTAGTTTTTTATTCAATGTTTTTTTTTCTGTTTTTCCATGTTGAAATCATATTTCATCACTGGTTTTTGCTCATTAGGTTAAGATTATGGGGTTAAGAGTGGGGAATTGGAAAAAAACTTTTTTTTAACCCCGAATTCTCATTTCGACAACCAGGAAAAAGGGTTTTTTGGACTGAATTTCCAAAAATAGTCAAATCTGAATCGAACCGAACCGAACCAAACTGAACTGAGACAAACCCAACTGAACCGAGCAGAAAAACAATTCATTATTTGATCAAACGGATGGATATATTTTTACTGGGGAAAAAAATATTGGCTAATTGAAACAAACAAACCAAACGAACAAACAAAAAAACATAATTCTCAACTAACGAAGCGAATTATAATTAAACAACAAGAACAAGAACAAAATGAAGTAGAAAAAACGAAGAAGAAAAAGATCAAGTAGAAAAACAAGATGCACTTAGTGGTGGTGGTTGTCGATTCCGTTTGGATGATCATCATCATCATCGGTTATTCGATTGGAAACACTAATAATAATTCTTGGGAGAAAAAAAGTTTCCACACAAAAAAAATTCTGTTGTTGTCTTAATTCATTGCCTACAACTTTTCTTTTTTTTGGAAAATTGCCGAAAAATAAAATTTCTAATAAAATTATCATTTAAGAAGCAAAACTTAAAAAAAAAAACCGAAAAATTGAAAAAACCGAGGAAAAAAACCCGAATTTTGGAATTTAATAAACTTTTTAATTAAAAAACAAAAAGTCCAGAAAGTTTTCCAAATGTCAAACAAAGGAAAAAAAAATACAGAAATTCTCAATAAAAAAAAACAAGAAATCGAAATGCAAAAATTGAAAACACAACCAAAATCAAATCAAAATGACAATTTCAAAATACAAAAAATTGACCATTTTTCTTTGTAAATCGAAGGGGAGAGAAAGAATCGATCGATCGAAATAGAATCGAGAAAAAAAAACAGAATTGGCATCGTTTTAGTTGAATGAATTGGTCGTTGTTTTTTATTACATCTTTGTGTGTTTGGGGGATGTTTAAATTATTTACCAGACGTTTTTTTTTTGGATCAGAATTTCAGAATCGAATCGAAAAAAACAACAGCAAAAACAACGATAATTCCGGATAACTTTTTTTTTGTGTTTTGTTTTGTAAGCGGATTTTTTTCCGTTATTCAAAAAAAAAACGAAAATTGCCTGATTATTTTACTATTATTATTATTATTATTAGCTAATCACATAAAGTTAGTGAAGTCCAAAAGGAGATTGTTTTCTATGTTCCTGTTAAATATTCTGTTCACATTTCCAGTCAGGTTATTTCATTCAGTTCTCTCAATTTCTCAATTTTCAAAAACTTATCACAAAAAACAACAACTGCTTTTTTGAATGAATTAGTTTCACCATCATGATGATCATCATGGTAATCATGCTAATTGTATAGTCATTTTCAGAGGGTTTACATTATCAAGGCAACTTGTAACAAACACACACACGTTTCCTATATTCGCATCCATTAATCTAATTGTATTGCTGCAATATTTACTATGTGTGCGTTTCGGAGAGGAAACGGCTATTTCTACTCAATAATAATAATAATAATAAAAACTTATTAACATGATCATGATGTCCATCGATCAATATCGATCAATATTGAATGACAATCATCATCATCATATAATAATCTTGTAGTTAAATAATAAAAAATTTACGAGTTTTTTTTTCGTAAAAATGGAAAAACCAATTTTCAAGCCACATTTTTATTTATTTTTTATAAAAATTTTATTTCAAAATTTAAAAATGTCATTTTTCTCAATTATATAATAATTGTTGTGCGAAGCATCTGCTGTTACTGCTGCTGTTGTTATTGTTGAGTTATGGCACCACTAGAGAATCGGAAAAATGAAAACGATTTTTCCTTTTAAAACGATTTTTTGATCTTTGAACCTCATTGAATCATCATTATCAAGCAAGAAAGTGAAGAAGAAATTGTGTAGAAATAAATAAATAAAATTATTTGTCAAAACAACAAACGTTTAGTTTTAGTTTTGTGAGCGAAAATTTATTGTAAATAATTAAAAAAATTGAGAATTTCCTTCATATTTCCAGGAAACTTTCCCGGGAAAATTTCCCAAAATCATCACAATGATGATTATCATTAAAAAAAGTCATCATTATGATTGCAGATTTTCACAATTTTTAATTTCCCCAGCCCAAAAAAAAAAGAAAAGTTCTTCGTGAAAAATTCGTGAAAGTATTTTACTTTTCTTTTTCAAAACGAATGAAAAGACATTCTTCACACTCGATCATTTTGCCATCATCATCATCATTGTCATCATCAGCAGCCAAATACTTTCTTGGCCTGTTTGGCTGGTCCAACGAAATAATGATGATGATGATGATGGTGACAAACAATGATGATGATCATCATCATTTTTTTCATATTCAAATTCCAGAAAAAAAACTGGATCCCATAGAAAATGCAATATCTTCACATGTTTTTCATTCGGGAGCAGAGAGAAGAAAGAAGAAGAATTTTTCCAATAATAATTCTTATCTTTCACAATGATGACTAAGAGAGAGAGAGAGAGAGAGAGAGAGAGAGAGAGAGAGAGAGAGAGAGNNCAGAGAGAAGAAAGAAGAAGAATTTTTCCAATAATAATTCTTATCTTTCACAATGATGACTAAGAGAGAGAGAGAGAGAGAGAGAGAGAGAGAGAGAGAGAATTTTTTTTCGGGGACCAAATAAAGTGGAAATAGGAAAAAAATTTGCATAGATTCGCGTTGTCAAATATTCAAATATTATTGTTGTTGGACAATAAAAGTAAAAAGTTGGTTTATAGAAAAAAAGCTAGAACAACAAACAAACACAAACAAAAAACAACAATGGATTCTTCTTATGCTGGATGGATGTTATTCTGATTGTGTGTGTGTTCTTTTCTTATGTTTGCCTATGGAACCTTTCTATGAATGGATGAATGGATGGATATGTGTTGAATGTGTGTTTTCAATTCAAAAAAAAAAATTGTCTCATCATCAAATTCATACAATGAATTCATTGAAAAAGGTGAAAAAGTTCTGGTATCGATGCAATGTTCAAACATGAAAATTTCGTTGTTTTTTTTGTTGCTGAGAAAAATCTTTTCTCTGTTTGTTTGTTTATGGAATCAAACTGAATTCAAAACAAAAAAAAAACAAATTTTATTTTCAATTTTTACATTTTAACAATAAATAATTATAAGCGAGAACCGGTTGAATGTTCAAAATATACAATGAGTGACAGTGTGTTTGTTTGTTTCAAGGGAAATTGATTAAATAAATACATTTTATTCGGGAATTTGGCAAATCAAAAAATCAAGAGTAAAGAATCAGGAATCAAGAATCAAAAGAATCAAAAAATATCAATTGAATTCAGGATGGGGGAAAAAAGTGAAAGTGAAGAATTTAAATTTTTTGTCTGTATGATTTACATATTTCCTTCCAATGTGATTCCCTAAGAATTGAATTCACACATTCAAACTGATCATCTTTATTTACATTTTTTTGTTTTGTTTTTGTTTTTTTCTTCAAAAACAAAAAAACAAAATTCAAATATGTCATCATCATTGATCAGTGAATGTTGAATGTTGATTTGATTCGATTGAATTTTTCCATTTTTTTTTCACTGTTGACAAGCCAGTTTTGTTGTTGATTTTTGATTCTGTTTTTTGGATTTGGATTTGGGCAAAACGAAAAACAAAAAACGAAACTTTTTCCCTTCGTTTTCTCCGCGCTGCACGAATGGTAATCCCAATGGATCGTTTAACGATGTTTTTTGCTTTTCATCGAACCAAAATTTGATTGCCAAAAGTCAATTTAAATTTTTTTTTTCGTTGATTTCAGTTTTGCCTTTCCTCCAAAAAAATAAATGTGATTACATAACACAGGAATTTGCATAGAATTGATTTTTTGTTTCCACATTTGATGATGATGATTGGTAACGAAAATCTAGGCCAAAAAGCAAATGTAGCAAATGTCATCATCACGTTAACCACATGACCATTAAATATCGATGATGATTATTATGTGAATCGTTTGGTCACGTACGAAATACACAGGCAGAGAGAGAAGAAATCCAATCCTGATTGACCAATGCAAAGTCGTTTTTGGATGATTTTGATTTGATGATTTTTTTTCGGATTTTGATTTCTTTTAGCCAGAGAAAAAAAAAGAGATAATAATAATTATTATTGCATTGACCATAATGTCATTCCCAGAAAAAAAAATCAACTTAATTTGCAGTAAAAACCAAACTTACCTGGTCAATAATGATGATGATTATGGTCACTACCATAAAACCATGGTAATAATGGTAATGATGACCAGAATCATAATTAAATTACAAGAATAATATAATGTCACTGTTGGTTTAGTTGATGAACAAACAGGTGAATTATGTTCATAATCATCACAATTAATTTGTTGTTGTGAATAATCTTTTGTATTTCTCCAATCCATTGATCGGGCATCACGAATTTTATCATATGTTTCTTGATCACATTTACGTTGCATAATAGTAAATATACAACGTTGTAATGACCAATGACCACAACAATATTGACGACGATAAACTCTTGATTCTTTTCTATAACCTTTTATTATAACCTGTGTTAATGATTGATAATATGATTGATTACACCAGGATATTTCATCATGTATGGCGATTATACAATCAACAGCACCATGAACTTTCGTCGTCGATGACGATGATGATAATGATTGCGATTGAGAAGAAGATAATGTTGAATAAGGCTGATTTGATGATGAATTTGTTATTGATGAATGATAACGTGTTGGTATTGAACGTGTTGGATATGATGATGGTCGCGATGAATGACCAGTAGAATGACCACGTAGACGATGTGTTTTTGAAGATATCGATTGTATCGATGATGGTATTGAGGATGAGGATGATGATAACACATAAGGCAACGATGTACAATAAGCAAATAAAATCAATGATAACCATAACATTAATGATGATCTTTGATTGATCAAAATCGTTATTGGCAATCTTGCCATCATTTTTGTTTCCATTTTAATTTGATTAAATTTTCTTCGAAAAATGCTAGAAAATCATAATCATCTTTTTCGGTTGCATAATTCAGTTACGAAAATAAAAAAGTTTTAGATTAAATTGAAAAAACTGAATTCAATTTTTCGTTGGAAATCAGTTTATTGCCCGAATTCAAATCAAATGATTATTCGTGATGATGATCCTGGATCATAATGATGATGATAACCGTTAAGAATGAATTTTGCCCATGGCTTCGAAGGGGGGAAAAATTGACGGCAACGGTGATTTCAGGCTTTTGTCCGCCTATTTTTGCCTGCCTGCACAATAATCAAATGTCCCTATAGGGACAAATAAGCGAAAAAAATGAGAGAAAAAAAGCAAAAGAAAATTTAAATTTATGGATAACAAAAAAAAAAAAAAAAAAAAAAAAAAAGGGGATGGTTGTGGATGAATATTTAAATATCAT